CGCCTAAAGTGATAAAGGTGTTTCTTAGTGAGGCGGCCAGTTCTGCCGTGGTATTTATCCGAAAGATGAAAGAAGCGTTTGACAATAGCCACCAGAGATAGTAATACCGCTCTCTTCTTTCGGCGCTCCCTATAAACGTCGGTAAAACAACGTTTGTTGATCCACAGGTTTCATACCCAGCGTAAGAGAAAACCCCGGGGCTGAATACAAATTAAACCGCACACCGATATCCTTCTACCAGTCTAAAGTCCACATCGTGTGTTTGTTCTTCCTTGTTCCGACACAAGTTCCTAACCTTCCAAGTATGTATTTGGATAGACAATAAAGAATGCGGTATTATACCGTGGAAACAACATTTAAAAACGGACCTCTGAACTCTTTTATTGTTTTCTTTTATTCCTCTTCCAGTGACTAGAAAATCGTCTTACTTAAAAGCACGCTTATCCAAACGGGTGCATCACATGATATAACAAAGTACCTCTCTTCTCTTAATTATAATTAGACTTTATTTATTTATAAAAAATTTTTATCCATTGAAGATATAAAAACTGCATGCCACGTAAAAGATGTTAAACGATGCATGAAACAATTCTGTTTAAATTATAAATTAAATGTCTATGGAAAATTCATGTTTCAAGCGATATCCTAAATGTTCTATTTTGCCTAAAAATTTGTGATATTATATTCATAACTCCACTTTGCTAATGCTTCTCACGTTTTATGTATTTTATTGAATTTTTAAAACGTACGACAATAGACATCGCGACGCACAGAAGAAATAAACCGGCCATTACTGCCATTAGCTCAGCTCGGCGAAAAAGCTTATCGCGATTCAAGTAAATTCTCACGTCGGATCTAACGCACTTATCGTGCTAATGGAAATTAGAGAGATTATGAAAACGCGCGGCCGAGCGACGCCTTAAATATGTCCTCATAGCCTGGCAGGTTGGAAAATTTGTGTCGCTCGCGCCGTTCTCCTAGAGTCGCCTCCCTTAACTACTACTAACCAACACCGGCACCTAACGGCCCGTACGTGTGCCCGTGTACACGTTCGCGCGCACGTATATATCCGACCGTCTTAAGGTACAACCCTGAAATTTATCGCCACTAAACACGACACCCCGAAAACCCGCCCCCAGCGCGACGCTGCTCTCGTGAAATTGCGCGCGTATCCCATAATACGTATCGTCTGAGATCTGGCCGATGTGTGTGTAACCGTGCGGGGAGACAGAAAACGGGATGAACGTACACCTATAGGAATGTCTTAGAAGGCACCTCGTTAGGAATGCATGTCGTACTCGTTACACCAAAGTCAACTTCCCTTTAACACTCGAGATTCTGTACCGAATTTTTGGTTTATTCGAATGGAACGCGTTTGATATTTTATAACAATGATGGTTAAAACTGGAATGTTATAATATATGCTTATCGTCGACGTTTAATTAGAAACGTGGAAGCAACTATTTCCATGAAAATGACAAATGTACCGGTGCCTGGTGTAACGACAACGGGACTCGGTAAATGCTGATGAACGTAGAATGAACAGAACGTGAACAATGAAATTGTTGCGGCCAGGTATCTACCGTCAGCCCGTTGAACAGTTACCCGTGGCGTAAGTCAGGCAATATTTAGTGATAAAGCAGTGGGGATGAAATGGACTGAACTATCTAAGGTATCCACAATAGGGACCTATGTACACCCGTATCCCTGCCAGTATATCAACATCAAATCGTGATTTTGCTTCCAGCAGTTCTCAATTCACCAAAAAGCACCCTCCCCCCCTTCTTCCCATCCGGAATCATGATTTACTGGCCGGCTTAATGCGCGTGTAATGCAATATAGATTGAGCGAAATTCTATGAAATCGCAACAGGAAGAAACGTATATTAAACGTAAAGAAAGGCCCCGCGACTTTGTTGACGATGTTTAAAATATTTTAAAATTTGCTACGTGCTGGATGATTTATTTTCCCTCAAGATAAATGGACATCGATATATTTTTCTCCCGTATCCGAGGCGAAGAAAGAGAAGGTTACGTTGTGACGTTCGTGAAGAATTTTGAAGAAAATGTTTCTGTTTTTCTGGCCGGGAAGCCGACTTAAAAAGAACGACGGAAAATTCGAGGAAGGCGAAGGAAATCCGTGAACGGCGTCCCAAGGACGGGAAACTTTGGCGGTTCCGCGACCCCGGCCGTCGCGTCGCTTCCCGGGGATTGGCGAAAACAAAATCTCGAATACGAAAGTCGAAAGGTAAACTCCTCCGGGAGAAATGTTACGTCCGCCGATGGAGACGAGTAAATTCAATCTGAAACGTCGCGTCACTCGACGTCGCGGAACGAAGACGGAAACCGTCCGAGAATCGTCTCCCGCTTCTTCGTTAGAACGGCTAGAGGGTGAAAGACAAGAAGCTGCTCTTTACCGGCAGATGTGTATCAATCCCTCCAATGCTCTCTCTGATTCTTATAGCGGGATGCACTCTCATCATGAAATGACGGTAAATAAAAAACCTATTACGTTACTAATGTATTTGCTTTTGGTATTTTTTTCAGTCTGAGGGCATCCTCCGATTTTCTGAGCGTTCGTAAATGAGAAACATTAAAAGGATTTTATCGATCGTACGACAAGAACTTTCTGCGATTTCTTTAGTCAGTCACATAAAAGTCTAAATTATTAACATGCTCTGCCCCTCTTCTTAATTTGTCGCCGGTCGGAACGATTCCATTTAACGGAGATGATCGCTCACGAACCATAGACCGTTCCGTTTAATGTAATGCAAATCCAGATATTTCATAAGGAAAAAATTTCAATGCAGCAGCACCATAAATCAGCGCGGCCGGCTCGACTCCGGAGATTCAATTTACCAACGTCAACGTAGGATGGTTTCTAGAGTTAATTAATCTTCATAATTCTGCAACCTGGGGGTAATGTCTCAAGATACATTTCTTCCGCTATTCTTTAATGTATCAACGAAACACAGCCATCGATTCAGTTTTCTCCAATACTTTCACACTGCATTTCACGCGTAGCTAATATTACCGTCATACTATTTCTCTATATGATTCAACTGTACGTAATATGTAATTGCACTTCACTTGCAAAAACATCGAGACTTTGAAATGATTTACAGATCGTTGTAAATGATAAGAAAGAATATGGCTGATCGATAAACGAATACAGTACTATTGTGTATATGTATATTTGTAAATACCGAACAATGTGGTAGAAACAGAAAATTCGACAAAATTGGGAACCAGATAAAAACGGACAAACTGATAACGCGGTAAACTCTCGAACAAACTATAGCCAATCGAGATAAAACTATTCTCATGATCATCTAGTATGATTTTTAAAATCAGATAGCTTTGTGAATCGTGGCTCACGGTCTCATCTTGTTTGTTTATTTGCTCGTCGTTTGTCGACGAAACGGGAAAAGGGAATGGCTGTCGGCTGCAAAAAGAGGGCGCATCGTCTCGTTTCGCTACGATGGACCGATAGTTTTATCGGTTATCCAAACCGGCATCGTTTTCCTTTTTTTACCCCGGCTGGCTCTCTTTCCGCGGCTCGTTTTGCATACGGAAGGATCAGATTGAATAAGAAACGGAATCGTGCAGAAATTACTGTATCACCTTTTAACCTCGAGCGCTCCTTTTGGTAATACTTCTCGAGGGAGATTGTTGAACCCGTTCGGTTCTATTTTCATCGACGGGCAATTCATCGCATTGGGATGCATGTAGGTACGTCCTCACTCAATTATTTCGTTCGAGCGAATTTAATTTTAATTTATTGTTAATCTTAGCTACTCTTTTTAACCAAATTTAAGGTGACAAATATTGTATTACGGCACAGTAATTTTTAGACTGTAATTTCTGGATACACGAAGAAACGTTAATTCACATGGAAATGAATCGATTAATTTCGACACCGAATTTAGCCTTGAGACAAGGCTTTTAGCGAAACGTACCGTTACTGCAAAACTTAGGGTTTCCTGTTCGAATAGTGCCATCCTGTTTGTAATTCAAGGGGCTATATCAGATTTCGCATTGATTAATTCTGGGGAGTAAATTTCCACAAAGCCCACCATTACGCCTAATAGGCTGTAAATACACGCAGATGCGTGCGAAACGTGGCGGATCATACATATGCACCGCGTTCTCCGTTTCTCTCCTCTGTTTAGCTTCTCTTGTTTTAAGTTGGTGCCTCGAATATACTGCACTACATCAAATCATAAATAATTTACTGATGCGCATAGTTAATAAGATGATCATCTATGAAGCACACGACACACCATTGATCTAAGAAAATTCTCCTTGAGTTATTATATTTTAATCATGTTAAAAAAAAATAAGTCCCTTTTATGTCGAAATTATTGATGAATCGCATTATCAATACGAATCAAATCATTTCCTTTAATTTCCACGTCCTTTCATCCAACTCTTAAGACAGAAGCTGAACTCTTTAGCTCGAAATAATCCCGAACGCGTATTCAAGAGGAGAGAGAATAATTTTGCAACCCCGGGGTCTCTTCTACTTAATCATTACCACACTTGGACTCTTTCGTCCGACCAACTCGACCTCTTTTCCTGGCGACGCTCTATCGCAATCATTTCGAAAACATTTCGATATATATCGAGCCGCGCCGAACGTTTCGAGCGTTTAATCGATATTCGAGGGAGAGCGAATTTCAGAGAAAGCACAGCCATTACGTCGAAATCGGGGGGTGGGTGCGGGGCAGAGGAAAAGGGGTGAGAATGAGTGAGTTAGCGAGTCAGATAGAGAGAGAGAGAGAGAGAGAGAGAGAGAGAGAGAGAGAGAGAGAGAGAGACATAGAGAGAGTAGTAAGTAAACGCGCGCGTACGGAACGTGCCTGCGGATCATACATATGCACCGCCCTCGTGTGTATCCTTCTCTTCGATTCCAGTTAACTTGGATCACGAGCACGGCATCCCGATGTTACCGGTCACCGCTCCCGAGGGTTCGTCCTGCAATTTAAATGACTGCGACACGCAGCAGCAAATGTCTCTCGGGCTCGGGCAACAACACCGGCAGATTACCCGCAGCTTGGTCTCCGTCGGCTCCATCGTCTGCCGAATATGTCACACAAACACCTCTAAGGAGTCGCTCATTTCGCCTTGTAGGTAAATCCATCACCGAGCAATTGCAGAATTCGTAACAGGAACGACCGGTTGTCAACAGTGAAAATATACCGAGACTCTCAGTGAATTTCAATAATCTTTATCGAAGCATGTTTCAAAATAATTATAATTGTTCATTTAAATGCAAGATAATGTTTAAGTAATCTTTACTAATACATCTTTCCTTGAATGTATATCTTTATTTGTAAATGAATATTTATTATTTTCGACAATGGTTATTTCTGTTACGATTCCTTCAATTGAACGACTATTAATACTTGCAATACGAAATAAATACGACTCTCTGGCTCCCTACTTTATATAAAGAATATAAATTCTATATCCATCTATGTATAAAAATCTATAGACTTGATGCTATAGACTAGAAAACTATTCGGGATTATGAACAATTCTATTTAACCAATGAAAATACGACTCTTTTCCAAACAGTGAATAAACAAGTAGAATTTGAAAATATTGGCTAAAAAATCGCAGTTGATTTTGCGAATGAAAAAACTCATTTCACTGTTCGTAATTAAGAACATTTTATCAAAATCGTGAATGAGCTACAAATAATATAATTAATTAGCATGCAACAGATCCTCAAACAGCTAATTTGCATTTCTAGCATCATATTCGAATACTTTTTGACATGCTTTAATTTACAAGTGTACTTATAAAACAACGGGAGGTCGTCGCTAATTACTCGGCCATTTTACGAGCAATAATATTTCGCGGTAGCAAAATTCATTCTCCGTAGCGGGCTAACGTTGTTGAATGACTTAATCGCATAAACCTATTAACACTTAGAGGTTTAAAACGAGACTGCTACCAGATTCCGTCGTCCCCTCGTTGTTCATACATTTACAATGTCCAGTGGGCAAACGATTCGGCAAGGAAAATTCTCCGCCGCGGATCGGCGTGGGTACTAATTAATTCTCGCGTTGGTCGATTAAGTGACGGTTATCCTGTGTCAACTAATTACCGCGAAATGTCGTGGCATAAACTGTTGCAACGCTGTTTGAAATTCGAAGACAACCGACCCAGCGAAATTAATTCATTATCGTGATACGCAATCGCGGTTTCCCCTAGTGCGAAAGGCAGCTATTTAATTAGCTTTCGGATGGTATCGCGCGTTAAAAATAGCGTTATTAAATAGCTAGGTCACTGGGAAATTAAACTGAGGGGAATTGCAAATTCGTTCTCACGCTTCGACAATTTCGTAAATCTTTTCTTGCGAAGCGAACATTCGAATTCTGCATCGTAAGTTTTCAATTCGTTAAGAATTAATTTGAAATCTAGTAGAATTTTAAATATGCAAATTAAGCAAACTGTAATACCAATATCGTATTATTTATTTATAAACGTATAATTCTTGGCTTGTGTACTTTTCGTTAAGTAAATGTTTCTCTTTGATTACGTTATAAAAATTGTCGCTGTATCAACAAAACCTTTGGGGAAACTGTAGGGTTTAATAAATCAGTTAATTCGTATATGGCACGACGGAACGATCAAATATTACCATATCGCAATTTGTTTAGAGGAAGGACAGGACGGGTGGCAAACACTTCGACGTCGCATCGAGTGCAATCGGTATTGGTACGAATAAATCCTTTCAGAATTATACTCGCAAATTTATCGAACCCGGTGACGTGCGCACGTGCGCCGATAAACGCGAACGAGCATTTTCGCGGCACTAAAATAATCGTATCAAACACCGGCTCGTCGATACATACGTTAATCGTCGTATCTCGAAACACGACGTTACGTTTCGTATAACGGAACGTCAATTAGATTTCGTGAAAACGAAATATAAAATCAAACAAAAACGACTGAGTAGCTAAAAACTACTTTTGTATTTAGCCTAATTCCTATTGTGAGAAGAGAGTATAATTGCAACGAGTAAAAAGAGAAATCGTAGTCATCTTTCATTCGCCTTAAAAGCCCCAGCAGTTGCTCGCGAAACAAATCTATTAACATTGTTTCCGCGATAAATCGTCCCGATAGGACGGACGAAGCATCGTTCTTCCCTTCACATCGTTACCTCACGAACCACTTCTCCACCGCGACTCTACAACCCCTTAACCCTTCTTAATCTAATGAAGGGTTCTACAATTTTAATCTCGACGCCCCGTTTAAAGGCGAACGCAGTGTTTTTTAACGTAGGAATAAAAAAATCGCGGCCCATAGTAGTGCCATGTTCTACTATTTCCCGTTTTCACCGCTGCCCCGTTCTTGCATTATCCCACCCGCCACCCAGTTTTCACCCGTTTCCCATTCGCTCGTTCTCGCTTTCTCCGGCAGCTCACTTTCCGTACCAATTTCTCCGCTCGCCGCGAGGAACTTAATTCACCGGAGGTCCTCGTGAGAATTCTCGTGGAACGACACGCATATTACGCGACCCCGTTTCTTTTCACCCGTTGCTCACAGGCTTCTCGTTCGCGTTGCATCACCCAGCCTGTATCCCCGCGGCTACAAGCGTCGCGACGCAACCGATTTGTCTCACCATGAATTCATAAGGGACGTCTGCAGACCATCATTTACCACTTTATATTTCGTATTGATCATAACGTAACGAATGCCATAACAGTAAGGCAGAGGTTCACGACGGGGTCGATATCGACCCCCTAGGGTTCGTTGAAATTTTAAAGAGAGTGAGGCGATTGATCCGAATAACCAAATCTCATTGATTGCATGAAAAATTGAATTTTTTTATACAAACCTATATCATTAGTAAGGAAGAAGTCATACGAAATAAATATAAGGGAGAAATTATTTAATATATTTTAAAAACCAATAACATTCTTTTAAAATGTATTAATTTTTTCTGCAATAAGTGCAACATAAAAAAGGAAAACACAGTACTAACACACGTGAACTAGTCTACAATCTACTCTAATTATTATCTTTAAATTACTTATGTACAATTATTTGTAAGTATTGTATAATCATATGCTGTCTATTATAGAGAAAAATGTAAGGGGGTCGTTGAAGAAAACTATACTTTTAAAAAGAGTTGGACATCCCAGCATTAAAGTATATCGAAAATAGTATTTTTTTAAAGAGTTAGGCAACAAGCATATTCTGTCATTTTGTAAGCAGGCTTTATATTACTATTTCGTCACAATCATTGTAATTGCATCTGAATACGTAGTTCGGATGAAAGTGACGAGGATGACTTGAGTTCGCGCGTTATCCACAGGCTTAGCTGTGACACAGGTGCCCTGTGAGCTGCTTACGCAATCCGTCACTGCGATTAGCCTGATATCTCGGTAAATCCCACTCGGGATCTGCCTTTGATCCCTAATTGTGTCGGGTTAGAATCATATCGGACATGCATTAGAAAATTCGCGATTGAGGAATACATTTTTAACTAACATCGATGACAGCTTCGATGTTATACCAAATTCTTTATTAATTATGTACCTTTTCAATTGTAGCAGATTCAATTTGATTAAATTACTTGCATTTGGTAGAGTGCAAAAACGCCGAAAGAATCGATACGTATAAAGAGAAGTTAAAAAAATAGAGAAATACGAATTCAGTACTGATTCAATACATGTATTAATATATAAGGAATACGAAAATTGTATCAATGGAACAAAACAAAATTTCCTGATATTAGAAGAAATACTGCCCGTTCCTTACAAGCAAAACTGAAGCTCGCATATTTTTCCTCAAAAAATGTATTTACTATTCGTAAAAAAAAAAGTACCGGAACGGCGAATGGACGAACAGTTTGATGAAACGGCGCGTAGCTGTGGAAAGCTCGGACGATAGAAATTTAGAAACTGTATTGTGCAATTAAGTTTACGGGCGCGGAATAATTGAAGGGGACGGGAATGAACTCTTGCTTACGTATTGAAAACCACGGGACACTGCGCGCTCGGGAAAAATGTTGAAACAACACCAAAGAGTCGGCAGTATTGCGAATCTCACGGCTCGATACTTTGAAAAATGAAAGCCAGCCCGGCCTCGTCTCATCGGACCGAATGCGCAGAAAGAAGTGAAAAATTTAATATCCCTCTGTACACCTTTTTGTCAATTCGTGTTCATCCAAAATGCATTGTACGTGAGAATTATTGTTATTTATGTTATTGTGAGAAGAGATGATACGTTTATTTCACCTGTCAGCAAGAATTTTGCTACACGTGAACGTGGCATAAATAGATAAATGAAAATTGTATAACTAGTTCGTAAGTACATTACCAATTATCAAGCTGCAAATGATCATTCAACACCGATTTAAAATGCTTACCTGCAACAGAAATTAAAAGAATATATTAGATTAAACAATTATTATGTCACATATATAATTTATCATTTCAGACATCACACAGAGCTTTCGCTCTCTATCATCCTATTATTAACAATTATTGCAAGAAACTTAATATCATCTCTTCGGTTTCCCAGCTGAAACCAAACATTCTTTCAGTCAACTTATTCATATCTCAAGCGTACCTACATACACAGAGAACTGTTTATACTGTAAATTTTCCTGGCCAAACCGAAAGCAGAAACCTCGCTCTCCGTCTCATCTTTTTGTATTAGCCAAACTTTCCTATTTCGCGCGTACATAGAATATGCCACGTCCGATATGGCAAGTATAAATTTCACAGACACACCGTCGGTACACGATTCGAGTTTATTCAACTGGATGTCTCTCGGTGGGCGCTCGCTTAAAGGCAGCCACCGTTTTAACCTGCTGAAGTAGGCAAACACGCTTCCGGGAAAGTTGAATACGATGCATTTTCACCGGGCCGTGAGAAGGTCCTCTTGTAGAAGCATAATTTTAACACCTGTCGCGAAACGGAGCGAAGGAGTTATTATATTAAGAGGCCAAAGACGCGAGACGCCAGGCGTTAGCCGAAAAACGAATGTAATCTGTGGAACGTGTCTCCAAATGTTTAAAGACTTCTCTCGGGTGGAGCTTAAAAAAGTTACGAAAATATTTGGGAAGCAGGGAAACTTGAGAGGGAGTGCGATACGTAAAGAGAGGTCGGATGCAAATCTCTTCTAGAGGCACGGTTGCCGCCGTAATTTTCGAACTTACCGAAGTTCTTATCCGAATGTTACAATGAAATATAAGGAGATCTGAATAATCCGAAGGAAATAGGATTGGCGCCTGATATATCTATGTAGCAGTCACGCGCGACTACTTTTATAATGCGAATTTCAATGGTCCAATCGATTTTTTTATTTGCAGGGGGTAACGTGAAAACATTCGCTCGCACACACATTTGCTCGCCTGAATTTTCATTAGAGAGTAATTAAGTAATAAGAGTTGGAATCACAGTCATGAAAATATAGTATCTTTACTGCCATTAAAAATTGAAAAACTAGAAATTATTTATTGGAACATTTAGAGTTAAATTCGCTACTCTTAGGATATAAAATGGAAATGAAAATAAACGGCATTATAATCCTTAACATTTTTCATAGATGTAAAGGATCGTTGGCTTACGTGCATTTGACATGCTTGGAAAGATGGCTGAATCAGTCCTGTCGCTCTTACTGTGAACTATGTCGTTATCACTTCAACGTTATCGAAACGCCTCGTTATCGCTGGTAAGCCTTAAACTTTGCCAAGAAATTATCTCAACCATAATTAGAGATTTTTGTTCTTTTTTTGTTGAAGAATTGGAAACCGATTTAAGACCGAATGTATGAAATTCAACTTGTTTTCGACTTGTATAGTGATCACTTTTATGGGAACCTTCAGGCCAGAATCGTTGAGGATATGGATTAGCCATCCCAGGAATCGTAGAAACATACAATCAGATTTGCTTATCTTCACATTACTTTCCGTCGTTACGGTCGGTTTGGTAACAGTTTGTCTCTTAGGTGAGTCGCAATTGCAAATAGTGAAACAAGAAATTTTCGACCAAAAATTATACATTCACATTTCACCAGAATTATAATTAATGAAACATGAAACAAACAAAACAATGAAAACATATTTTTGTGTATAATTACAGGTATGCAATACTTTGTTATCGAGGGAAAGAAGATCGGGATTTCTAAGCTCTGGACAAGAGGGGCCATATGGTTCTTTCTCACGTTCGTAGTGCTGGGCTACATCACGACGGTTTATTTGTTGGGAAAAGTAATCACCCTTTCACTTCATAATACTATTCGAGTACACCGAACTGTATTAAACAACGACGGTACCGCAAGGAAACGTATTTAACTCTCGTTCACCGCTTCCCAAGAGACGGATCGCGTTCTTGCAATTAACTGGCCGGCTGCTACCACCGCACAAAGCTCAGCTTTGTAATCTGATAAGTTTCCCATTTATTGCCATAACGGAACCTTCTGTTTAGCTTTCGAACACGTATACGCCGAGAGCGTAAAGCATTTCGCAATCAAATTTCTTAAACGAGTTACAAAATTACGTTGCCCGATGTCATGTTCCAACAATGGTCGTACCGTATTACGGGCAAGAATGCTAACCAAGTGACACGGTTCCTAACGAGTTCCCTAAACAGTCCCGACATAATCTCGGAAACTTCCGTGTAGCTATCTCGTGTCGGGCAACGAGCGGACATTTTTTTTCCGCGGAAATTCGAGGCGTATTCTTGCCCGGAATAATTCCCTTAATGGCACCGCGGGGTCGCACCCTTTCTTCCCGCGCCGCAACTTTAAATCCATCCGGCTGGATCTGCGAGGTGGCCAGGCGGAAGCCAGGGACTCGCCACCTTTTGTTCTTTATCGGACCTCGCTCCGCATTTAAATTTGCGGACACTTGAACAATTGCACTAGCGTCATAGTTACAGAATTAGTTTCCCCTTTATTTGACAACCATCCATTAAGCAACAATTATCGAGTTACCTCTTTAATTACATTACAAAGAATACGATAGTTACAATGGTTTTATTTAATTCTAAGAAATTGCCTCGAGATTCAATCAGTTTCAGTTTGAATCCCAAATTGTTACAATTACTGCAAAGTATAGGAAAGGCTTGGTCTATCAAAGACTGACGCAATTACCGTGAAACGAAACGTTTCTCGGTTTGTTTCCGATTCGGTGCAGCCCGGGAGTGGCAAGCGTACCAGGACGTTTTATTCACGCCCGTGTGTTTCCGCGCGGAATTTTCCCCGACAAGACGCCGTCGGGTATCGAGTGTTTCGTTCGAAACGGTAAAAACATACCGCGCGGCGCTGCAGAGACAAAGCGTTTCGTAGTAGCTCGGAGGCAGGTTTAGGTGGACGACGACGACGACGACGACGACGGTGCAGTAACCCTCTGCTGCTTTGCCACAGTGCGACTGTCTTCCACGGTTTATGTTTATGCGACGCGACTCCGCGACGACCCAGATAACAAGCTGCCTCGAAGCGGATACATTAAGCTGCGGTACGTCGAGGCGCAAAGGTGAAACACACAGGTGAAACCAACGCCCCGTTTCGTCGCGTTCGTTTTCGTGCACGCGCGGAGCGCAACGCGTCAGCCGAGTGAACCGGAACGAACGGAATCCGGCATACTCTTTTGGGTTAAAGAAATAACGTAAAAGACTCACGGCCGAGTGACCTCTCTAAATAAAGAGACGGTTAGACGGTTAACTTGGTTTCTTGGGCTTTTCTACATCCTTAAACAATCTCACGAGACAAACGAACAGCGTGAAAGATGCTTCGCGGAGCTCTGAATTCGTATAGAGATTCAAGAATAAAATGGGAAAATGTAGACTACAGAATGGACATTCAAAGAATAGATAAACGATTATTATGTAAGAATGATTAACGACAAAAATCAGGAATCATGAATGTAAAGAAGACAAATAATGTGTCCAAGAGGGAATTATTAAAGAAGAATTTATGCTGTTACAAAGAAACTTTAAGAATGCAATGGCAAAGGGTTCTTAATAGAACGACAACTTGCCTTTAGATGTCTTTTTAATAAATTAATCGACGATTTTAAGATTTACTTTGCAATTTAACGCAAGTAATTGCCGTCGTAATTGCATTCCCCTCATTTTAGAAAAAAATGTATTTTTATTCATTTCATTAAAAAAGAACTTAATTATAAATATCTATCAAGTTTCTTAATTAACGACACTCGAGAAAACTAATTAATTCGAAGCAGAAAATTATCTTGCTGATTTTTTTCTTTTTTTAAATGTAATAGGAAGTGTTCGATATAAATATAGAATAATTTAAAACGGATATTTAATAAAGTTAAGAGTAATGAAGGAAAATGAAGAATAAAAATGACGGGATGTTGAAAACAGAAATGTCATATATGGAATAGCTCGCAGTTTTCCTTTGACGTTGATTGCAGTTGATGTTCGTTGTAAAACTGCGAGGAAAGCATAACAAAATTGCCGTTGTCGTTTTATGATTTGACCTTAAATGGTTCACATTCAAAATCTTTTTTATACTGCGTACCACATATCTGATAAATGATAGAATAGCTAAAAATTTGTATTCTAAGAATAGGTAAATGGGGAAAATTCTGGTTTTCTGTATCGTAAAAGCATTTGCAAATAGAAGTTCCTTACAATTTTCTTATATAAAATATAACCATTATCAGAATGCGTATAAAATATCTGACTGCATTGGTGTTCTGGTAATTGCAAGCAAGATTTGAACGCCTGTTTGAAAATCGTTTAATTGAAGTATTTCAACTTAGCGAGACAAGAATCTCGAGTAAAATCGTGTTTCTTGCCGCATAAATTCAACTGCTGTCGTACTCGAATCGAAATCCATCTATTTAATTAAGAATCACCGCGAGTACGCGACAGCAGCGTGAATTTCGATCAAGCCATCTCGAGATCTGGCCGCTTCGAAACCACTCACAGCTAATTTATCGACCTGAGTGTCTTTTGGCCCTGACAACCGAAACCATCCGAATAATTTAAATCGCGAGTAAAAAGAACGGCAACCGGCCCTGTTACAAATTTTTCCCCTCGTCCATACTTTTTCCCTATCCACGGCCGAACTCATTTTTCTTTTCGTCAGGACCAGGTGGCACCTTGGTATAGATGGTGGAGGAGTACCGTGAACGTCAGGCTCATCATGGACCCTCAACTGTTCAGGAGACTATCGAACGAGTCCTTCCCATCGCATGAGAACCAAACCCCGGGTATCCACGTCACGCAGAATCCCAGGTTTGTCAGACAAATTGTCAACATTTTCTTAAAATTAACCCCTTACCGTACTTTGACCTTAATTTGAAACGTGGACATTACGAATCAGACTCTCATATCGAACGAGATTTTGCAAAGTTTTCTATAAGCATAAAAAATGGCAAGAAACGACTTGGGAATGCACAAGCTAAATTCCCGAACTGAATGGTACGGCAAGGGGTTGAAAGACGGTTGGTTGAAGGAAAAGCCAGAATTAATTGGTATTCTAGAAAATGTTCCACTTTCCATTTGCCTTTGATAAAATTAATAAGTCGAAGGCTGAGATCGTTTTACTACATAAAGTAACGCTTTCCCCTCAGATGCCCTACTAACAGTCCCCAGCATCAATAACAAAGTTGAAGGTTCATCGTCTTCGGTGAAGAAAAAACAAGACAATTTTATTCCCTCTAAGAACTCTGTTTTGAAGCAAATTCCTAAAAAATCTCGTTGTCTGCTTACAAATAAACGACTGATCATCTATTCGATATTACAATTTTTTTATTACACTCCTGTATATCCTTTTGAGCCTGCGACAAATTTTTGACCAGACTCTGGGCTTGATCATTCTCATTCAGCCAGCGATATTTAGAATTACAAAGATAAGAGTCTGTTTGTGCCCAGTTTCGGAACGTATGATAATAGCGCGATACAAATAGTTGGCAACCCTCCAGGTGAGTTAATTGCTGGATCAGCAGCAGTTTCGTTTTCTCTGCTCGGGCACGTTCCGTCGGTCTGAGCTAATTTTTTCTTGGCAATAGGTACGCTTAAGCTCGCGGTATGTTCCTGTTTAATGCATCGCCTCCGGGTGAACCACCCCGAATGTGTTCGGATCTCATTTGCGAGATTAAATCTTTCGTACGACGCGCGAATTATGTACCCCTGGTTTTTATGGCGATCGAAGATCTCAAATTGCCTCTTGAACCCGCAATAACAGTTATATCAGTGCAAAAAACTAAATTGTTACAATTATACGAGAAAATTATTTTGTAATAATTACAAATTACGACTAAATGATATCTTCTGTGACAAAGAAATTTTATTAAATTCTGTGCTCAACTTTATTTGAAAAAAAACTTGTAAATGGTTTAAATCTTGCTGTAATTTATAATATTTCTTCAAGCACATAATGCGGCTGAACGTCTCCGTTTGAATACATTTTTGTATGTTCAATGGCTATAGAAATAATTACCTGCTTCACTTTTAGTACTACATTTACGTTAAGGATGCCTTTCTCCTTGCACGTGAAAAAGTACGTCGCACGTAGCTGCGATACTCTTGTCAAATTGGTCAAAACAACGTTTGAGACGAAAAAAAGAGATTTTTAATCACTTAACATAAAACGTAAACGTAAGTTCGCAGCGCTCTGCAGCTCTCTATTTCAAATCTGTTTCACGAGATGTAAAACCCAATCCAGTAATTCGTCCAACCAGTCCAGTAATTCATTTTACATCCCGCTACTGACAAAAAATTCCTGAACAACATTTTGAAGACTGCGCCTCTAATTGGAATCGAATCAGCAGCGGCCAAATAGAAGACAGCGGCATCAAAATCCGAGAAAAAAAAAACGAGCGCGTTTGAAACAAAAACAGGTGAAAAAAAGAAATCCCGCGAGCAGCTGCCGCACGCGTTTGCCAAATTTTCTTATCGCTGAAATAAATCGGAAAGCTAAAGCCCGGCAATTAGCAGTAAATATTGTTCACCTCGTTCTGGATAATCCGCGCTTAAACGCCGCGGCAGGGCAGGGCCGCCGCGTCGCGCCGGGTTCGTTCGACTTTATCCGGTAGTTAGTTAAGCTCCAACAAACCAATTACAGTGTCCCGCGTCGTACGAAGGAGCTACTGACTATCGTTGGATCAGGGACCGAAGTGAACTGCGCGGTTAGCTTGACACTAAGTGCGGAACAGCTGATCCTTAATGACCAATTCGCGGAATTAGCCGGCGTAATTAATGGCCGCACCGACGAGCCGCTTACGTCCCGACAGTTTACCCTAGCGACGTGCTTTGACGCGTGCTGCACGCGCGCAATCGTTCACTGTGCAAGTGTGCGAATAATCACAATTTTACTTTACAGCGAATAATTAGCTTTGACTCTTTTTCAAAATTCAATTTATTTGATTAAATCTTGAAGAGAAAGGGAAACTATTGAGTATGAAAATTATGTATTTTCATGATTGAACGTGATCGACTTCGAAGGTAAATGAATTAACTTATATTGTTTACAGCCTCGTTACTTTTGATGAATTCTCGCATGAATGGAATTTTGAAATATACATAGATGATTTGTGTTAATGATTCTGTACAGTTGAATTATTACAAAAACCAGTATAGAATTCCTAACAATAGCACGTTAAAAAACGAGCTAATAACTTTTATTTCGAATGTGAAACATTGAACGGAATTACGAAGTATCTAAATGTTATACTATATCTCTATAGAGTCTGTAATCAATAACGACAGCGTGATATAAATAGCTAACTTACTGTGCAAGTGTGCGAATAATCACAATTTTACTTTACAGCGAATAATTAGCTTTGACTCTTTTTCAAAATTCAATTTATTTGATTAAATCTTGAAGAGAAAGGGAAACTATTGAGTATGAAAATTATGTATTTTCATGATTGAACGTGATCGACTTCGAAGGTAAATGAATTAACTTATATTGTTTACAGCCTCGTTACTTTTGATGAATTCTCGCATGAATGGAATTTTGAAATATACATAGATGATTTGTGTTAATGATTCTGTACAGTTGAATTATTACAAAAACCAGTATAGAATTCCTAACAATAGCACGTTAAAAAACGAGCTAATAACTTTTATTTCGAATGTGAAACATTGAACGGAATTACGAAGTATCTAAATGTTATACTATATCTCTATAGAGTCTGTAATCAATAACGACAGCGTGATATAAATAGCTAACTTTATTTTCCATACTTTCCACGTTAAAACTACATTTATAACAATATACAACTATATGTATCATAACGTGATATACATAATATTGTTAAAAAGTTTGTTGGAAAGTTTCAGTTTGAATTGTCAAGAAATATCGGAAGACACCGCAAAGATTAATACGTAACGTTGACGGAATAAGTAAATGTGTTTATAATGTTGGCAATGGGGCGGCTTGTGATTAATATGCTAGTTGATTATTCTGTCAAAGTACTTTATAGTAGAGTGAAAATAATAAAGCTTCTTTTAGTATGCAATCCAGGTTTCATTAATGAATATTCAAAAATTGATGGGATTTCAAATTCACCAGGCCAGGGCTTTAATTATTTTCTGTTCAAATGCCTCCCTCACTCTGTCACTCACTCTCTCTTTCTGTCTCTCTCTCTCCCTCTTCCGTTCGCGTTAAACTCCTAGACTTCCAGTAATTTACAAGAAATTCCGGAAGTTCCGTATTACCACATTCTATGTATAATAATTCCAACAATTATTAGAATATTGATAAACAATTTTTAAACCTATCATATAACAGCAGCGTCATTGACTGAATTGAATTGAACGATAATTAATTATTAATGATACTATATACACAAATAACTATTTTCTACTGATATGTATTATTAAATTTTTAGTACAGCCAATATTCATGTAACATACGTTACGTTTAATCTAAAATTGTTTTTCACTGCTAGTAAAACATTACTTTTTTCTATTTTTATATTTTATCAAAGACTTCAATTTTCCCACAAACATATTCATCGATCCCTTTGCAACGACATGTGAAAAACAGTTTGTAACTAATCTTTTTGAACTTTTTCCAATCTGTTAAACTCTTGTATCAAATTGCAAACTGTTATTTTGTACAACAGTGCATAACGATACATCTAACGGTGACAGAGGGAAATATATTCCTCTCTGGCGGATATGAAACCAACATAGATTCATAAAATAAACAAGATTTTTCACAGTGAAAAAAAATGAAAATGTCACAAAAGTGACGTAGCAGAAATTCTAGATCGTTCTATCGTCATCGTCGTGCCGTTTCCATTTTAATTCTATTCCGTTAAATATGTGTGAGAAGGGACACGGGTCGAGATGAACGTTCAGCTCGCTGTGAATGTCTAATGACGCTGTATACATCCATAATTAAGCTGGCTAGTTTAGAAACTTTAAATTATGTCCCGATGACACACGAACCGGCCGGCGGTCGGCCTGCAGCCAACAGGAATAATGAGAATTTCAATATTCATATTCCACCTTGAGAGCTCTGCGATAATGTTCCCTTCTCGCGTCGACAAAATGACAATGAGAAGTGTCTATTCGACAGTACAAACATTTGTACAAACTTCAGTTACTCTTAGTTACTTTGTGTAGTACGTCGCAAAGTTTTGATTAGAAGATTAATTATTTGTAAATTCCTAATTTCCTCACTATATGACAAGATTGCGTTTAGGACAACTGAGCGAATACTCGTATTTTCATCACTCCAGCAAAAATTCAAGGTACAGCACAACGACTGGATCTCAATTAATATATAAATAGTTATAGATCATCTCTTATCAAGACATTTAACATGAACAGGCCAAAAACTATATTTAGATTACGCTATTTGACCTGATTTGACGTATCGCGATTATGAATCAAGCTTTAGGCAACAACCAAACTTGCGTGTCAACAATTTCAGCAAGTTCATAGGAATAATTACTGCGATCTTCGCAAAAGTTTCTAATCCGCTTTAGGAACACGTTCTTGTATCAGCAGTTCTAAAACTAATAGAATTAAATCACATCAACCTCTTATTAACTCTCATGATAATCTCTTAAATGTATTGAAAACGTCCAAGTCATCAAAAGTTCCTTTACACAATTTTTTTTTAAATTCAGCCACGTTGCATTCATGAAAATTTCCAGCTAGCTCACTAAAGCAGTATGTAAAAAATTATCTTCACGTTTTCCAATACGAAAGTTCCTCGATACGATAGAATAAAAACGAATATTTTACACACATTTTAAAATTCTTTGAAACTAGTCAGCTGTATTTACCAGGAAAATCAATAAAATTATCAATACTGTTGACTGCGAAATAAATGGGAAACGTACAAAGTAACTGACTAACAGGTAATTTTTCAACCGATCCAAACACGCGAGAAATCTCTCTGATGAAATACCCGTTATTGCGCACGAAGGAGCGTGAAACTATCGTGCATCCATTCCATCGAACGTTCATTTTTACTTATTTTTTATTGAGAGAGAAAGCAAGCAAGCAAAAGTCTTGCTCGGTTTTTACTGTTAATGAGACGCAATAAAAGTCGTTCGATGTTCCCTCGTTCGCGTGCATTTTACGATTTTTCAAGTGTCGTGTAAAATAAAATGAAATTACACCCGTAAGAACCCTGAATGAAATGGCCATTACATTTATAAACAAATGATTATTTACTTAATATTGCACTGATAATATTTGATGTAGTTAAGAGAGATTGCCTAGCCACGCGTTGACCATTTCTACTTAAACTTCGTTTCCCTTTATTTTT